GCACAAATGGCTACTTGCTCTTAGGGCAAAGCAAGAAAGGAGGGAGAGAGGGAGCAGGAGGGGAGAGGGCTGTGGAGGCGAGTGAGAAAGGAGTGGAGAGGGAGGGGAGGGAGGGCGGCAGCCTCCTGGTCACCTGGAGCAGGTTTGTATTTGACACCTCTCACAGAGATATCCACCAACTGTGCTTCCATAAACCCTCAGGCCTTTCTTTTTTCCCCCTTCACAGTCTCAAACAAAATTCCATTTCTGCTGCAGTGGCTGCAGGCCATAATAAATAGATCCCCAGCAATTCCAGCTTACAATGCTGCCAGAATCCTTGTGCCGAGTTTAATCAGAAAAGCTGAAGTTGCAACCCCCTCAGCTACAAATTTATAAATGTGTTTTCCCTTTGACCGTATAATTGGGATAATACAGGGAACTCCCACAGAAATATCAACATGCGTCTGAAAATGAAAGAGGATTAAATAAATCATCCTTAGAGCGGGGATATAAATTCATCCACATAGTTTCCATTCTCCTGTGGCAGCTGCACTAATAAATGCCAGAGAGAGACAGAGAACTTTCCGGTAAACTCGCTAGGACGGTCGTGAGTGAAAGTTCAAGTAACCTGAGCAGGAATGTGGGCCTGAATTAAAAGTAATAAAATCTCCAAGCACCCCTTCAGGAATGAGGCCTCAGAGGCTGTACCTTGGGGCCTCACCTGCCTCCTTTCCCCACCTGCCACAGACCCCAGGTGCTCTGGGCCCCTCCATCAGGGGAGAAGCTTCTCTGTGCTGCCCACTTCTGCATCTTCCTGGCCACCTAACAGGGGCTCCTGAGGGCCACTCTGGGTCTCCAGGCCACCTGTCACTGGGTCCTATGCACTGAAAACATACCCACCCCTGCCTCCACCTGGCCCCAGCCAGGTTGTGAACCCTGTGAGGCGGGGTGACTGTTAATCACTGTTCTTTAAACACAGGGCGGATTCCCAAGGTTCTCAGTCCATTTTCCCTCTACCTATTTTTCACTGTGACTTGGTGGTAACTCCTGCCAACAGGTCGTCAGCCTTCTACCCCTGCCCTACCCCCAGCTCTGCTCAAAGCTGGCCTTGGCCATGTGCATCTGGGTTAGCAGGACACCAGCAAAGTGGTGGGTGGGGAAGCCTGGGCCAGCGCTGTGTGATGGTACCCAGGCTAGATGCGGGGCCATGCTCCCACTGACATCAAGCAACTACTGGATAAGACTGACAGCGCCATGCTGGACCATCCCAGACCACCCAGCTGGCCCAGGCTGCCCACAGAGCACTGGGATCATAGCATGCCAATGTGACAGCAGGGTGCAGCCTTTGTTTCCTTCCGTTGTGGATATAGGACTTACCTCTCTCCATAGGTCCTGGGGACACCATTTCTAAGGACACTCAGCAGATTTATAGCTAATTAGCCTGGAATTTGGAAGGATAAAAGGCCTATGTTTGGGGGCTGAGGTTGGAGACATATAACATCCAAGAGTCCAACCCAGTTGGGAAAGTGACACCCTCTTCCAGGCCTGGGTTGTATTATTTGTTGCTCAAACACGATTAACATTTGAATTACTTTTTAAGAGAAAATTTAAAGACTGAACTCTTGAATTATTTCATTTTTTACTGTAATAACACATTTAAAAACTTCTAAATATAAGGTATAAACCATTTAGGCTTAAGCCCCTCAGGTAAAGTACAATGCCTACTCATCTGCAGACTCACCTTCCACGGTTTCAGACACCCACAGCCAATTGCACTGAACGTTGTCCCACAGTGCTGGGAGGAGTGAATGCTTTGACAGGACGACCACATTTCATGCAGCTTTTATGATAGCATTTTCTTGCAATTGTTCTATTTTATCAGGGTGATGGTTGATCTCTTAATGTGCCTAATTTGTACATTAAACCTTATCATAGGCGTGTATGAATAGGAAAAAAATTATATATATATGATTATATATGATATATAACTTGTGATATATATCATATATAATATATGTGTATATAAATCATATATAATATATATGATATATATATAGTGTTTGGTACTGTCTGTGACTTCAGGCATACACTTGAGGTCTTGGAACTTCTCTCTTGTGGATAAGGGGTCCGCTGCATTGCAAAACACGTATTTAAAATAACAACTTTGAATTCACTAGGACTCAGTTGGCAAAACTAAGATAAGAGAGAAGGGCACGTGTCTGAAACCACGTTGCCCCTCATGGCCGAGGATGAAGACAGGTCAGGGCTGTGCGCTGGGCCCACGTGTGCTGTGCTGTGCTACGTGCATTTCTAAGCTGCTAAGCTTCCATTGGCACAGGAAACCCAGGTTGCTGTGAGCCTCTCATGGTGACTGAAGGGGCACCAGTGTGACTATAAACGCAAACACAAAGGTCAAAACAGAACTCTGAGGCAGTCGGGATAAGAAAGTGGTCATCCACTTATATGCTTATACGTCGAAATTCAAGCAAATCTTTATATTTTTGGAGAAGGAAATGCTTTTTCAAATTTATCACAGTACTCCAGCTGGAGAAATTCTGCAGACACAGACCTTCAAGGACCCTCCCAGTGGAACAATCCATTCTGTTCCAATCTAACCTCCTTGCTGGAGCCTCAGAAGGGTCCATTGCAGTCCCAGGATCTGCCACCAGAGGGAACTAGAGCTCCACTGCAGGAAAGAGGCGCTGGCTCCTCCATATTGGTAGAGGCCAAAGTACCTTTGTTCTTCTCCCTGAGTCCTAAAGGCAAAACTGTTCAACGCAGAGATGCATAGTGAATGTGGAACTAATTGAAATTAAAAAGGGTTTTCTCTATATTTTCTTTTTATTACTTTGTATTTATTGAACAAACTTTCGGTGCCTACCACAGACAAGAAAAAGATAAGTCTGGTGACTCCCAGGGTTCAGGGTGTCACTGAATTCCAACTAGACTTCTCACCTCCACTGAGGGGACAGTTCTCACAGGACCACGCTCCAAAACACTCCTTAGGGTCCTGACAGATTGAAAACCACTTCCTAAGCTGTTCTTCAACCAGCGAACCACTCCTGCTGTGTGCTCCGACTGCGGGACAGGTTTTGGCACTGAAATAAAGTCGTGGAAGGCTGGTTCCCTAACCTCAAAGAGCCCCCTCTACCTCTAGCTGAGTAAGCGAAACTAATTCGGAACACGCAAGAAAGACAGGGGCTAAGCTGAGTGAGGGAAAGAGAGGAAACAGGCGCTGGCAGGGAGGCCAGATGCCATCGCTAGGTATGACCAGCAGAAGGAAGTCACCGGGATAATAGTGCCAGAGGCACTGTCCTCGCGATGGTAGTGTGACTATATAAGATACATCCTGCCACCCCACTGGATTTTTCCAAAATAAAGGTCCTATCCTTTGAGGAAGGGAAGTGACCTCCTGTCCCCTCCAGGCTTAATCAAAGGGCAAGGGCTCTATGACATCAGCACACACAGGTCAGCAGCCGTCCCACAGCCACCTGCCACCCTCACTGCCACCCTTGGACCTGCTCCAGTGCCACAGACTCCCACCTCCTCAGCAGCATCTCACAGCCGCACCAGCTTCCTGTGGCAGCTCCCCTGTCAGTCAGAGACCTCCGCACCGTCCCCTCCACCACCTGCAGCCCCTCAGTGTCCCCGCTCCTCCAAGCAGGCCTCAGCCACAAACAAAGCCTCATCTTCACTTAGCACTAGAAGTCCCCAACTGTCTTGTTCTTCTGTGTGACCCTGGGAGGAAATAGTTGTTCCTGGGTAACGTCAGTGAATCTGACCTTGACACCAATTCCCGTACTATGAAAGGAGTAAAAAGAGACAAGACGCAGAATCAAACTCAATGTTGCATTCAAAGTGCGGGTGTATAAAGTAAACATGTCCCAAGAATGACTTCTAATGCTCTATCTAGTTTATTTGCAAGGTTTTGCAACACAAGATAGAAGCCATGCCCCTTGGTAGAAGGTTTGGTAAAGTTTAAAATACTGGAAATTATGGTTTTGCTTCTGTAAACCTGGAGTTTCCCTTCCCTCGGGATCATACATAATTCTTTTTAAAAAATATTGATTGTACATTTACAAATACCAGGCATCCTCCTAGGTCTGGAACTACAGAGGCATATAGCGCAGTGTATTCACACACAAGCATAACAACCAAGAGTGCTGGAGAGTGTGTGTGTGAGAGAGAGAGTTTTCACAGGAGATTATCAAGGGACAATTTTTCTCAAAATGCAACCTTAAGAACAGAGCTTCCTTTACAAAAATACATATATAGAGAGAGAGTTTTAGTTGTAGGTGGACACAATATCTTTATTTGTTTTTATGTGGTGCTGAGGATTGAACCCAGTGCCTGACATGTGGTAGGCAAGTGCTCTACCACTGAGCCACAACCCCAGCCCTCCTTTACAAATTTTTGACAGTCCTTAAGTGTGTGGAAACCACTCTAAGGAACTTATGTCTATGAAAAGATGGATGAAGTCACTGCACATTAGCTATGTGTTGCTGATGTGTGGAGCGTGCACCTTGGTATGGAATGCCACCAACACTAAACACCAAGGATGGATCCGGTAGCAGAGACTTTATCTTAATTGTAAAGCAAAATGTGCCATTCCCTGACCTTGAAGAAGTCATTGTTTTTTAATCTTCCTTTCTTTGCTTAGAAAATGGAAGTTTGGGCCAGATTAATTTTCAAGTTGCAACAAAGTGTGAAATTCTACAAGGTCTTCTGAAAGATCAACACAGATGCTGATAGAAAGTTCTTGTCAGGTAGAATGGGCTCGTTCCATTAGTTGACATCCATCAATAAGGACAGCCTTGACGATCGATGAGCTGGATTCCCAGGAGCGAGCAGGCCATTCTCTCCCCCTTCTCCTACCGCAGGCGAGGAGCAGGACGCTCCGCTTTGGAGACCAGGGCTTGCAGCACAGCCACCTGTGCCAGCTATAAAAAGGGACCCTGCCTGCAGCCACTGCCCGATCACCGGAGCGCAGTGTGGCAGTCCCCGCCCACGTCGTGCCCTCAGTAAGTGTCCAGCAGTTGCCGACAGAGGCCTCCCCAGGGAGAGGTGCTCCGGTGACCTGCTTTGCACAAGAACGATCCCTAACCCTCCCCTCCGAGCAGCATTTGCTGAAAATAGACCCTTGTGGCACGATTTTCCTAAGAATCTGGCGGGGGGGGCGAGGGGGAGAGAAGAGAGAACGGAGATGGCTACTTTCTAGCCAGTTGGCAGGGAGGACAGAGCGCATGCGTGGAGGGCCCGTGCTGCCCGGAGAGGCCTTCTTGGGGCACTTCTGCCTGGAGTGGCCAGCGAGGGTGCTGACCATGAGACTCTAAACTCAGCCCTTGGCCACCCTGGAGGCACCACTATGCCTGGTCCCCAGCCCCCCAGAGCACCGCAGGGGGAAAGCCGCGACAGCGTCCCTGCCACCATGGGCATGGTAAGTAGGGGGACCTCCGACTGGAGGAGGTGGGAGATGGCAAGTGTCCCTCCCCAGGAGACTGAAAATAGCCTCCACCTGGAGCCGCTGGTTCTCCTGAGCGCTCCTGACCGACCCGGGTCTGGCTGTGAGGTATCTAGAGGTGCTGACGTGGTATCTGGAAAATCGGCCCATGTTTGCAGGGTTCCCAATGTTACCAAGTAGCTGAGATGCGGGGACTTGGGTAGATGTTGCTTGTTGTCTATTTAGCACTCATAATTTTACTTTTTCTAAAACGAACATGTATTTCTCTTTTAAGTTTTAAAAGAAATATTTATTTAGAAATACCAAACTAAATAAAGGGACATTGGGGGAGCCTAAGAGCTGGCCTCTTACATTCTAATCAAGACTCTCCTTCGCCTGTGTGTCCTCTGCCCCTTCCTGGTTAATTCTGGCATCTTCCTCCAAGTGCTGGGGGTAGATCACACAGAAAAGTGCAATAGAGGCTCCAAGTGATTTTTAAAATTCTACTAGAAACATTAGCATAGAAGATAAATCATGAGCCATCACACTTTCAGGAACACCCGTCTCAGAATTTAGGATCAAAAACAATCACTTCAGCATTAGGAGCAACACCTAGATAATACTTGATGACAAATTACAATTTGTTAATTAATTTAGAAATGTTAAGTTGAAATCAACAGTACTTGTTAATGTTCAGGGGACACTAGTCAAATAAAATGAAACTTCAATTCATCTGAGGAGTGGACTTCTTTCTTAGAAAGACCCCTATAGTGTTTTATGTGAAATAATACATCGTGCAGCAAAGGGACCAGGGAAGTGGTATGTGATTTAAAGTAGACAGACCAGTGTCAGCCGATTTAAAGGGGAGGCAGCAGCATATGATCCCAGCCCCAATTCAGAGCAGAAGTTGTTAAACAAAAACCAACCAGCTTTGTAAGATTTACAAAGGCCCAGGGTTTGTTAGCCACTAAGGAGAGTAGGAGCTTGTCACAGACTCAAAGAGAACATACCAGGAATCTCCATGTCACCACCCATGCTCTATGGAACAGAAGCTTTCTGGATTTTTTTTTTTTCTTTTGGGTTGCGTTTAGTAGTGTCCCTGTCATTCAGACACTTGCTCATGCCACCAGTTTTGACCAAGTGCTGCACTTGGAGCACAGGTCTGGCCATACCTCGGAGCTCATGGCCAGCATGGACCAGTGCAGAATCGCCCCTGTGCAGTGTGCTGGGCTCCACCTGGAGGAATGGGAGCGCTGCAAAGGAGGCTCCCCACCAGGGAAGACAGAAAAGCTCTGGGAGGAGAGGACCAGGGGCCAGGGAGGGGTTACAGGCAGGGCAGTGTACTGTCTGGGGTCTCAGGAGGAAGGTGTCAGGGAACAGAGTGCTGAAGGCCCATGGTCTCTGTGACGAGCTGGGAGCATATGGCATGGGTGACAACAAGCCACTCTTCCAGAGGACAGTGACATGATTCAATTTGCTTTAAACTGAGAGTCAGCCACACCGGGGAGGGGGCTGGAGGAAGTTGAGAAGTTGAAGCGAAGACACCTCCTGGTGATCAGCCCCTGAGGAGGGAAGAGCACCTGGGTGGCTGCCAACCAGACAGAGAGCTTGTGAGAGACCACAGGGGTGGAAAGCCACCAGCCTTAGTCCCAGAGGAGACCCCACAGACAAACTGATGGGTGACTACCAACTAACTGGTCATTTGCAAAAAAAAAAAAAAAAAGGAAAAAGAATATCATTTATAGAATTCAACCATTTTGATCTTTTTATAAAAGCAAGGGAAGTATATGCCCTGCCATACTGGTGATGTTTCTTGTAGGCAGGTTGCCTCCTAAGCTGGGCACGGTGGCGTGCACACCTGTAATCATAGTGGCTCAGAGGCTGAGGCAGGAGTTCAAAGCCAGCCTCAGCAAAAGCAAAGTGCTAAGCATCTCAGCACGGCCCTGTCTCTAAATAAAATACAAAACAGGGCTGGGGATGTGGCTCAGTGGTTGAGTGCCCCTGAGTTCAATCCCCAGTCCCTCCGCCACACAAAAAAAAGAATTTTCTAGACCTGTGTTCCCTATATTTCAGGTGACCTAAATTCTTCTTTGCTTCTGTTTCTTTAAACAATTTCAGAGCTAAGGGGAACATACTCAAAATTGCTACAGTGTCAGATTCTGCAAGAGATGATACATTGGACCCTAAGGACACAGGGGAGCCTATCTAGTTTGCAGTTCAGCAGTTCAGTTGTCCTTTCCCTGGGCCTCCTGAACCAGCCCTGCCCTGCATCCTCCTCCATCGTGCCTCTAGGCACCAGGGAGATGGCCTGGCTCTCTCAGGCTGCTTCTCTGTAGTTATATATTCTTGTCTCTGGCTTGTCCATTTGTTAAGTTCCTTCCATTATATGTAGGTTGAAATGCTTGTGGCAACAAAGAGGGCCAGGTCATCCTGAGAAAGCCTCTGCAGGCTCTCGGAGGAAAACAGGTTCCCTGTGACTAGACTCCGAGGGACTCAGCCACAGGAGACCAGGAAGGGGTCGTGGGCACTGAACCCCTGTCCCACACAGCCACAGCTGTCTGCTTTTTCCAAACCACAGAATCATTCTGCAAAGAGCTCTTTTCTTTTTTATTCTGATGAAGGGAAAGAAGGCTGTTCCGTGGACTAAGAGGAGGAGGAAAGGATCCCCCTTTTTCAAGGGTGACTCAGATGTTTGTTCACTTTTGTGGGTGATCTCTGGAGCCTGGGAGGTCTGGAGTTTGGGAAGTTTCTGGAGCCTTCTGGGGGGGGGGACAAACAAACCTGAGATGGGAGGAGCCACTGGTTGTCCCCCACCCCGGCCGGCTCACCCCAGCCACAGCAGTTGGGAGGGTGATCAGTGCTTTGCTCTCTTGGCAAGCCAAGGAGACGGAGGAAAAGACAGCCTCAAGGGCTGGTGGTGGTGTGAATGACAAGCCACACACCAAGCCCACGGGGGAGCCTGAGGGGGAGCAGCAGTTCCTCACAGTGCGCCAGGGCCTCTCTACATGTCACTAGTGACTGGGTGGGGTTGACACCCGATGCCACCATCCCAACACCGGGTGGGATTCCGCCTCCCGCTTGGCCTGATGGGCCCATCCGCCAAGGCCCTGATACCAGTCCTTCCCTGTAGCCCCCAGCAGCTGCACTCAGGAGTTTGCCAGCCGTGATCTTGAGTGTATGACAGATGGCAGCCTGATCCAGCACATCTGTCTCCACCTCTGACGTTGGAGGGCGTTCTGTCACCCACTGACCCCCTGCTTCCGTGAATCGTGAGGATTTCCCACACGTTTAGGGAGGAGTTATCCTGTTATAACCTGACTCTTCATCTACTTCACATCTGCCGAAATACAACTTTAAAAACCCAACATATCAAAGACAACTGTTGCTCGGGAGGTCACCCACATTCCAAGTCCCGCTGGTTGGAACTCAGAACCAGCCTGCCGTGCTTCAAGATGACTCTTCTGCAGAGCCGCAAGAAGAGGATCCCTCTGGCCGCCTTTGTGGAAAGCAGCAGCACATCATCAAAGGTGTTCTATTTTTCGATGCCAGTTGATTCCATCGCAATGCTGTGTGCCATCAGGGAAATGCTGCCAAGTGACAGCCCAGGAATGCCTCTCTCACATCTCCCCTGCCAAGTTTCCAGAGGTACCCAGCCCTGGAATTCCTCTTAGAGTCGGCTCCACTTGGCAAGGCTCTCCCACGTCACGGGACATGCTCTTCTGACCCTTGTCTTATTCAGCAGTGATCCCTCAGAACTGGGGGAATACCTGCTCCTCAGAAAGTTCTCGGGCCCTTGACTCCCTGAGCCGGAGGCTGAGTCATCTGCTCCTGCACCTCTTTAGAAAGGAATCGCTCTGCATTCCATGGATTTGGAATTATCTGCTCAAATCTAAGGCTCAACTGGGGATGCCCTACCAAACAAAAAGATTGAGTGTGAGAACTAAATCCTCACCAGGAAAAACTACCCACCCCAGTGCCTTCCACACACGGAACTGTGGTCCTCAGAATGTGTGTAAAGTCACAAAAGTGTTGCTCATTTGGAAATTTCATTTCCATCAGGCACAGAAATAGGATATAGTTTACAGTAGAACTAGTTTTCTTTTGCGGGTTGTAACAAATCTTTTCCTGACAGGTGGACAAATGGGGAGGGGGGTGAACTGGAAAACCATCTAGAAGAATACAGAATGTGGCTTACAGTGACCTTTCCAAGAGGGTAAGCCTACTGCTTAGAGTCCTTATCAGATTCTTGAAATGATTGCTTATGTCAACTAGTTTTGAGCCTCTGCTGAGTGGTGGGCACTGTCCTAAGCCCAGTAACACCCCTACCGACTTGATGGGGTGAAAAGGGCTTTCATTATGTTGATTTTGCTGAAAGGAAACTGGGGCATAGAGAGGTTGGTAACTAGCCTCAGGTGGTGCTGGGCTCTGGCAGAGGGGAACAGAGGATCCCTAACACTGTTCCTCCTTCCTGAAGAGTTGCTTTCCAAGTAGTCTTTCTACTACTCTTAAGTGTTGAGAGAAACAAAACCTTTGTAATACAGATAACCCATGGCTTTGGTAAGCCCTTGGCCTTTTTAAAGAGGCATTTCTCAACCCAAATGTTCCTCTGATGGATGGGACTACAGACAAAGTGGCAAAGAGAATTACTGACCCTTCATGACACTAAATTATTATTCAGTATTTTGGTTTTATCCTTTACTTATTTATTTATTTATTTTGGAGGGGGTGTACCGGGGATTGAACTCAGGAGCATTCGACCACTGAGCCACATCCCCAGCCCTATTTTTTGTATTTTATTTAGAGACAGGGTCTCACTGAGTTCCTTAGACCTAACCATTGCTGAGGCTGGCTTTGAACTCGTGATCCTCCTGCCTCAGCCTCCTGAGCCACTGGGATGATAGGCATGTGCCATGGGGCCCAGCTGGTTTTATCCTTTCTTACATCCGTCCCCACTATCTAATTCCAGAACATTTCACCACCCAAAATGCAACCATGTG